TACATTTTACTTCAGCAATGCACATTTTTTAGCACTATCGGTAAACAGCTTTTGGCACCCTATATAACACCCCTCTGTTACATTCACTTCTTGGTCCTACTTTTTTCCTTGTCCTAACCTGACTTAAATTATTGTGTAAATAGCCTTAGATGAAGTGACTATTCTTTATAATGATAAATATAAAATTGCCTATAATCATATAGAAAAAGGCCACCTCTTTGCCTCTGCTGTATATAGACATAAGCCTACTGTGCCTAATGGTTAATTCTGCCCTGTGCTTTATACACATGAATACAGTAAGAGATCACTTTTTGCATTCATTCCTGACACCATAAGCTCTCGGTGATGCCCAGAAACGTATTAATACGTTTTGTATTCATACAGGTGCTAAGTGAATTATACGACTCTTGCCAAAGTTTTCAGTGGCAGTTTATTTTGGTTCTGCACTACATGTTCACTTTGGTAGCCTCTAAAGCTGGCTATTCATGTGGCAAATTGATAGATTCAAACTTTTGATCCCATGTGTTTGTTAGAATCGCAAAGCAATCAGAGTTTCAACCAACAACAAGGAGATGGAATCAAAATTGTTCCAATCTTGGATGCTAGAAAAATAAATTTGCTTGTGAATACATTGATATAGTGTTTTTGCCTTTTCAATTCCATTTTAATGTGATCAATAAACTGTTTTAGTGCTTCCCATTTGTTGTCCAACTATGCCTTCTGGTGGTCGGACTCTTGTGTAGTAGATTGCTTGGTATGTGGCGCTTACTTACAATGATATTTGTGGGTGGCTGAAATAAAAAATGTTATGGCCAGCTTGAGGCAGGCCACCCATTTAACATATAGGTAAAATTGAGTATTTTCCTCTATGCTTTATCTATTCAGAATGGCATTCTCCTGAAAACTTCAACATATCTTTCTTGTTGGAGCTATTGTCTTCATTAAAACAAACATTCTCGTACTTCTGAGTCTAGTGACACATGCTGTTTGTCTTGTTTTACAGTAGTTGAGTTGTACACAATATTGATTACCTCATTGTCTGTGGGGAAAGTTACTTTGGCTTGTTCAGTGACTGAGTTCAAGCCTTTCTTCTTCAAATGTAATATGGTGGAATGGATTAATTTAGATGGCAGCCCAGCAAATACTTTATATACGTATACTAGAAATAGAAGTTAGGTTGCCAGTCTGTCATTTTAGACTGGTATTAAAAAGAGAAAGCAAAGGGAATCAGCATTCTCTTTTACTGCATGTTGCAATGAAGCATCATAACATAACTCCCAAACCTTTGTAAGCTTGTGAGACACACTGTAAGAAACACTCAAAATTATATTCAAGGTTTTTTTCTTCCTATTTTTTAGAGACACTCCCATCTTGCCCATTCAGTGTAGCATGACAGTGTCTGTGTAAAGAAAGTCCCCCAGCCCACTAATTCTCACTTTGACCGGACTCCCCCCCCCCACAGCTCCTGCCATTATCTTAGCTGGTAGAAATTAAATACACAGTGCTTCGGGGTATGGAGAAGCATATGACCTTCTCCCATGTGACAGTGCTTGGATCTTGGAGCCATTTATGACCAAGGGTAGTAATGTCACCATTCCCTCTAGCATTCAGCACCAGCCAGTATGGGTTTTAGTGCTGGCTGGTACAATGGGAATGGGAGAGATTGCTGTCAATGTGAGTATCAGTGGGTTGGGGCTTTGTAAAGACTTGGCCACTTTGACCTAAATTAATCAGGTGAGAGTGTCTTAAATGAGGGGCTATATAAATTAGGTAACTTCTATTTTACTTTATACAAGTAGTTTGCTATCTTTTATCCAGAGTGATTTAATCATGTCCCTTTCTGTATAATATTATTATTCATGTTTTTAGATTATTTTCCATTTAAATATACGAAAACATACATAAACATAGTGATTTCAATTAGTATACAATGTTTACTTGACATTATCAGAAGCATTTCTATTTAACAGTTTCACTGTGCCTTTAATATATTAAAGCATTGGCAAAAACAAATACATAAATTCCAATCTTGGTTTCTATATTAGCATTGCTGCTGACAATGACTCTAGAGAGTGGCACCCAGTGAAGTGATACATGTGAATTGTATGGAATTATTACTGAGAATCAACAGACACATTCAGATCTGGTTGTCTAGATTAAAGATCCCTATGGACAAGCAAAACATATCACTGCCATGGTAGCATTACAGATCCTCCATCCATTACCTCATTGAATAAAGGCTGATCGTTCTCCCATTGTTTTCTGTATGTTCCTTAAATCATTTATCTTTGAAGCTCAATTGGAATAGAGATTTTTTTTCTTAACGCTGCTATCATTTGATTTTCAGGTGGACAGTTTTGGATAGAATTAAACATGTATGTATTTATCCCTCCTTTTTCCTTCAGTTTTGCTCTGCTGAAAAAAAAATATTTTAATCATGTATTTGTCACACAGAGCAGAGTTTTATTCATATGTACAAATGGATTTTTGGTCTTCTGGTTTCACATAAAACAGGTGTTGTTAGACTGAAGGGCTATTTGCAAAGCTCACACTTCCTAAACTAAGTTAATTGTTTCTCATCACCCCACTGCTCATTTGAAAAAAAAATCTGTAGAGGTTTACAAGATGAAAACGGCATTTTATTTAGAAAATTCTTAGCCCTGGGTGAGGTAGGCCATGTAGATTGTGAACTGGGTGATATGTTTTAAACTGTAAACAAATTGGGGTTGATTTACTAAAGGATTAGGGCATGTCCATGTTCCAAATGAAATTTTCCTTAGTTTAATGTAAGGAATGAACCTTTGCTGACTTTTCTTTCTAACCGTGTTTTTTTCATTCTGCTTACATTTGAATGGGCATTCTTTGCAAAGTGAATTTTTACTTACCTTCATTTCATTCACTAAGCTAAATAAAAATTCACTTTGTAAAGCCAACATGCATTACTTCTTAAGTAATTCAACTCCATTGCATTTGACCCTCAAAGTTGGTTATTGGAAACAAGTCTGCATTCACACTTGCAAATCAGGCAGAGTCTCAAGACTCTAGCTTATTTGTGCATCACTCGGCTGTAGATCCTCAAATCATCTCTGAATATGTGCTGACACTGTCCTTCCTTTTGGAGGGTGGCTACTTTTGTTCCCCATGGTCCCTGTGTGTGTTGAAAAGTAGCAACTGCTTCAAGCTTGCTCCCGGGATGAACTATAATATTTTACAAATTAGTAAACTAAACATGAGATTGTAGTCCATCATGGGAGCGAGCTTGGCTGGCGGCCACTTTACAACACACACAGGGACCATGGGAAACAAAAGTAGCCACCCTCCAGAAGAAAGGACAGTGGCAGCATGATTTCAGAGAGGAATTGAGGATCTACAGCTGAGTGATGCACAAATAAGCTACATTTTTGTTAAATATTTGGGGTGCTTGAATGCATTTTGTAAGGTTTCTTAATACTGTTTACTCTATAATGTCTTATTCAATAATGCCATATGTGGGCATACATTTCAAATATAGCTTACAATGCTAATGACTGATCCCTAAATTTAGGTTTGCCATTTCTCACTCACTGTCTACTTTGTGTCTGGTTGCTAAACTTGATTAAAAATGACCTTTTTGTGGCAGGAATCACTGCTGTCACAAGGACTCAAAATATTCCCTGTTATGTTGAGATTAAGCAAGGTATTTGTACGCTAAAAATCAGAAAGCTTAACATTAATATAACAGATGTGTTAAAAATGCATAAAAAAATGTTGATGGGAGAATGAGCTTTCTAAATAGGCTTCATATACTTTCTTCACAGCTCTTCATGTATTTTCATCCATGCCATTTTATGACTCAAAATTGTTTTCCTTGTCCTAGATAGACTTGCTTAAATGGTAATCACACCTATAGTGTATTTACCCTTAGTGGCCCACCTCATCATGCTGAACATATTTTAGGGATTTACTGCCCCCCCCCTGCATGTTTCCCTACCTTATTAAAAAGGCTGGATAAATATTTAAATGTTTTAGTAAACATTACTGCATTATAAAAAAGATCATGATCATGTTTGTGCAACCAACTTTGTAGCCCACATCCAGCCAAATATCCCCCAAGAAATGTCTATTCTCTTCCTGTGCTGTCTGACACCTATCACCAGAATAGGGAGAGAGAACAAATTTCCCTCAGGGAAAAACAGACAGCAATAAAATCCTAGCCACTGATAGAAGACTCTCAATCTCTATCAGTGTACTATACATGTCCCATTTTCCTTTCTGTTCTGTCTAAAACCTATTAACTAGACAGGAAGTGAGGGGATACCCTGAATTCCTGTTTTGTCTGACACCAAGCAAATAGATTAATCAGAATTTGTGCTTATATGTTGGTATGTCTGACACCTGCCAAGCAAGCAGTAAATTCGGGGGCAATTTTCCTTTATTACCTGGTCTGCCTGATACCTAACACACAGGAAGTAAGGATATTTTTCCACCTTTCCTGTCCTGACTGATCCCTTTTTAAATAGTAAAATCTGTCATATGGGGACACAGACAGCAATGAAAAGTTGACATACATTTTACTCCTTCCCCGTTGAAAACAAATAAAAAAAAAAGTATGGCTGGATTTGGGCTTTAAGAATCCATGTTTTGTGACAAACAGCTAGGTAGAATTTACCCTATGACCCAATTCCTCTTGCATGCATTGCTTGCATTCTGCCTTCATTATCAAGTATTTATATGTTCTAATTACCTAGCAATGATACTATAATTCCCTTCATTGTAGAAACATCCAGGAGTCATGAGAAGTGGAGTGCCAGCCTACAGACATTGTGGTCCTTCCACAGGACAATCTTTGTAATTCGTGCAATTTTTTGTGCTACAGCTGTGCATGCTGTGGATGTACAAACCTTTCTCAGGAGCCAGTGTTACTTTTTTTTGCAAATATAGGTTAATATACATTTCCCCTGATGGTTTCTGCCCTATTGAAGAGCCTGATTTTCTCTTATATATATAAGCTTTGCAAAGGAATGTTTACAAAGAAATTGGGGAATCCTACAAAAAAGAAAGAGAGTCCGAGCAAACAGGATATTTCCCAATTTGGCCTATACAAAAATCCCAACATCTCAACTACTATAAAAAGCACAGCTAAAAAAATTGCCAAGTGCTCTTCTTCATGCAATTTATCAACTGAAGAAGATACTGTGAAGAAGGAATTCTCACTTTCTCCAACCCTCAGTTATCGGGTAGCAATTGCCAATGGTCTGCAAAAGAATATTATTCTAGCTGGCAATAATAACGAGGATGCATTTCAAGAAGTATCTTCTCTTGATAGCTCATACTCTGAATCTCTAAGTGAAACAAGGGCTGGCAGTACACCCAAGGAATACGCATCCCACACCATGCCAGTAAGGCGAAACAGGAAAAGTATGAGCAGTTTAGCTCCATCTGATGGAAGTTCTGATGGGGAACGTACCTTACATAGTCTAAAAATGGGTGCTCTACGTAAACTTAGAAAATGGAAAAAGAGTCAAGAGTGTGTTTCTTCTGATTCAGAAGTAAGCACATGGAAAAAAACATGGGGGTTGAGGAGCAAGTCCTTAGACCGAACAGTCCGTCAGCAGAAAAGCAGTACGCTTGAACCTGGCTTTAGTTCAACAGGATGCATAAGTCAGACCCATGATGTGATGGAAATGATCTTCAAAGAACTGCAAGGTATAAGTCAAATTGAAACTGAGCTTTCAGAATTAAGAGGACATGTGAACTCTCTAAAGCAATCAATTGATGAAATTTCTAGTAGTGTTGAAGTTGTACAAAGTGAAATCGAACAGCTGAGAACGGGATTTGTACAGTCAAGAAGGGAAACTCGAGATATCCATGACTATATTAAACAGTTAGGCCACCACAGTAGTAAAGTCAGTCTTAGGTTTTTAAATGTGCCTGAAGAGAAAGGAGAGGTTTGTGAAAATGTTGTTTATAAAATTTTAGTTGAGAAAATGGGATTTGCGGATGCCCAAAACAGCATGAAAATTGAACTTGCACATAGAATAGGACATCAAAGAGACTGTCCCAATGCAAAGCCTCGACCAATTCTTGTCTATTTTGGTACACAGCAAGACAGAGATTTAGTTTTAAAAAAATGTTACAAACTAAAGGGAACTGGAATAGGAGTTTCTACAGATCTTCTTTCACATGAATTGAAAGGTAAAAAAGAAAAGGTACTACCTTCTTCTCAGACTTATGAGAGTATGGATATGAAATTTTCTGCCATGGAGCCAAAGATTAACCATGATGAATGGGAATGTCAGGAAGACAGTGACAAGGAAATAGAACCTGATATCAACAGGAATAGTTATGCAATGATTTCCAAATCAGAAGGTCAGATGAAGTCAACGGGGAGCAAAAAGAGTGGCCAAACATCACACAATAAAAAACCTCACAGAACGGCTGATGCCACTTATAAAAGCAAAGATGACTATGGAGATCTTAATTTTCAGTCACCAGTATCTGATAGCTTAGAGAAAAGTAAAGTATATTACAGTGATTCAACTCCTTTGTGGCATTCACAAACTGATTTTTCTACACCCAAACTAAGTCGTTCTGAATCAGATTTTTCAAAGTTATGTCAGTCCTACTCTGAAGACTTTTCAGAAAACCAATATTTTGTTAGAACCAATGGCAGTTCTTTGCTGTCCTCTTCCGATAGGGAACTATGGCAAAGAAGACCTGATGACAGTTCATCAACCTGGTATGCAAGCTCTCAAGAACAAGCATTTGGTACTGATGCAGAACCTTACCATGAAGGAAATGAAATAGAGAATACTGAAACTGTTGACAGTGGTGTAAGCAATGGAATACTTTGTGCTTCCGGAGATCGTAGCCACTACAGTGATTCTCAACTTTCACTACATGGTGATTTGTCTCCTTGGAAGGAATGGCACCATTTAGAACAAGGAACTGATTCTGGTCTTGACACATCTACACAACATGCCTTTGACTATAATGTCAACTGCCCTTCAAATCAACAGATGGAAATTTATGCAAACAACTATGAAAAGTGCCAAAGTACAGATCTTCAATACAATACAGAAAACTTCAACTACACACTTGATAGCAATTCCCCATCTTGCCCAGAAATATGCACTGCAGCACAAAATCAGTGGACTAGTGAGTATGATTCCTATATTGAAACAAATGCCAATGACATTTACCAGAACCAAACGAGAATGCCAATGATGTATCACAGCCAGAGTGAGTTGCCAAGCGATGACTCAGAAGATGCTCCACCAAAATCCTGGCACAGTCGATTAAGCATTGATCTCTCAGATAAGCCCTTCAGCTTTCCTAAGTTTGGCTCTACTCTCCAGAGGGCAAAATCAGCTCTGGAAGTTGTTTGGAATAAAAGCACTCAGAGTTTAAGTGGTTATGATGAAAGTGGTTCTTCGTTTATGGGCAGATTTCGGACTTTGTCTCAGTCTTCAGCTAATGAATCCAGCACAACTCTTGACTCTGATGTCTATACAGAACCTTATTATTACAAAGCTGATGATGATATTGATTATAGTGAGTCAGCGGCTGGTAATGAGAATGGAGGTGATTATGTAGAGGTGATGGAACAAGTTCTTGCCAAACTTGAAAACCGAACCAATACAAATGAGAATTTAGAGCAGATGGAAGATTATCAAGAGTATGAAAACAGTTTATATGATGCAGAGTTTGCAAGTCTACAAACTGATGATTATGATACCCCGTTTGATGACTTGGTCACTGAGGATGTTTTAGAGCCTGAATGTGAAATAGTCTATAACGAGGCAGAAAATGACTACGAAAACAAAAATATACCAGAAAAAGTTGTGGAAGTCCCAAAGAAGAAACGCATCCGTCCCAGCTTTAAGGAGGCTGCCATGAAAGCATACAAGAAAGAAATGGCTGACCTTGAAGAACGGATCCTTGCAGGAGGTACTCTAACATTATTTTGAAATGTGTATTTTGCTTGTATATTTTGAACTTAGTAGCTGTGTAATGAAACCAGGGATTTTATATTTACAGTAAGCATTTTTATTCCAGTATTTTTTTTACTGATATTTTTATATTTACAAAAATAATGATTGATTATAGCTGCAAGCTTGTTAGAAAATGCTTTTTGGCCTATAATTATAACATCTTATAACAGAGATTGTAGCAATTACTACGCACTAGTGCTGCTCTAACAATATAACATTTCCCAAATCATTCTAGGGTGTTCATTTACTGTATCTTAAAACATTCTGTGGATTAGCTTTTTTATCATTAAATTATATTCCTTACAAGTCAATATCCCATTGCATCTCAATAGCTAATAATTCTACTGTGCAGGGTGTTACAATAGTAATTGGGGAAAACCCATGATATGTGAGGCCATTATATTTGTAATAGCTCAGAGTATATGGTGCAAAGTAGCCAGAATATAATGGGGGTGATTTACTAACCTAAACACACACACACGCACCATGCATTTTTACACAGCAAAACGTATTTATCAACCAAACACGAGCAAAGTGTCACATTTTCACGCCGTTATGGTGCGTTTTTATGTATTTACGTACGTGCGCGTCACGTAGCATGCACCATAGGCTACATGCCGCTCTAATAGCGGCATGCAAGTCTCTAAAAGCATATTTCCACTAATGCCATATATGGAAAAACCATGCACATGATGCATATATAATGCTGCTTCACAGTTTAGACAAAAATGGTTAGCTCATGCATTTACATTCCTGCATTCATCAATGCAAGCAACACAACGTAGAGCTAATTTACACAACATCACCTTGCAATTCATGCAGGGCTTTGAAGTGCTTTGCACAACACACCTGCTGGGTGTGTACACACTACAAAGGTGTCTAGATTCCACCAATAGATCATGCCGGGCGGGAACACACTACTGAGGTGTGTACTTGTTTGTGGCGTGTTTATAAGGTTAGTAAATCAACCCCTACATGTTAGCACACACCTATTTGTAAAAGTTTTCTGTTGACGTCTTTATACATTAAAGGAGAACTATGAGGTGAGTGATTTCCACTCATCCTTATAGTAAGAGTCGAAATGTGACAAACCAGCTGTCACAGGTCAGCTCTATCGATCTATCACTTCCTGATAGAGTGCAAGCAGTGAGCGTTGACTGTCAGTCACCGCTCACCGCAGGGATTCCCCCCTACCCTCTCCAATCCTCCATCGCTGAGTGAGGAACGAATGGGGGAGGGGGCAGGCACAGCTGGCTCTAGCTCTAGATAGACAGAGCCAGCTGTCACTCTTGTAGCTGGGTGGATCTCTCCAGTATTGTCGGGATCTGTCCCAGGTGCTGCGCTCTCAGCATACTGCAGGCATTAGCCCGCAATATACTGATCTTTGGGTCATGGGAGGAGGTTAGTATATGTCCTCCCGTAAAACCTAAAAATAACTATGGGGAAAAACACTAACCCCATGGGGAAAAACACTAACCCCATAGTTCTCTTTTAGCAAAGAGCACTCTTATCCAATTCCCACAGTAACCAATTAGAAAGCGTCTTTCTTTGGACTAACTAAAACAAATATCTGTAAACTGACAATAAATTATTTTCTATGGGTTACTTCTCTTTAATATATTCAAGTAGCTATTACTTTAATATGTAAGAAGCACACTACCAACCAATCATATCTATTTTTTAGTTAGCTTCTTAAAATTAATTATGACAATGATCTTTCTGCCTATTTGATAACAGTTGTCACCTTGACAGAATCTTTGCTCCTTAGTAATAAAAAAACATTTTCAAAAAAGGGATTCATCTGGTAACATTTCATAGTATTGGCATATTGGAAAAATATGTAGGTGGAGTCGGTTGAATATCATTGTTCAAAGATTATCATTGTTCAAAGATTATCATTGTTCATATCTTCAATCTAACAATTGACCAAGATCAGCTTTATTCACATCTGTCCATTTCCCTGCAAAAAAACACATCAGTATGCAAGGACTTAATATACATTGTAATGTGTATATGGAAAAACTTAGCGGGGAGTTAAAGGAGAACTATGACATGAGTGATTTCCACTCTCCTCATAGTTCTAAGCCAACCTGTGACAATGAGACTGTCACAGGTCGGCTCAGTAGATCGGGAGGTGAGGGAACACATACCGGGTTCCCTCACCTCTCGATCCTGTCACGGCTCTCTGCCGTGACAGGGGGAGGGGCTGGATTCCCCTCTCCCCGCTCCGATCTGCCAGCGCTGACTGGCGGAACGGACGGGGGAGGGGGCGGGTACAGCTGGCTCTGCCTCTAGATAGGCAGAGCCAGCTGTCACTCACGCAGCTGGGCGGATCCCGTCATCTAAGTCGGGATCCGCTCCAGGTGCGGCGTCTCAGTATACCGCGAGCTGTAGCTCACGGTATACTGAGCTTAGGGTAACGGGAGGACGCTAGTTGGTGTCCTCCCGTTACCCCAAGGAGAACTATGGGGAAAAACACTGACCCCATAGTTCTCCTTTTAAGGCCTGCGTTCAAGTACTGCGGAAGTCTTTACTTTTATATCAGCAACACATCCAAACCAATAAAACTGACAGACTACAATAAGCCCTCGTTCACACCTGAATGTTTTTTGTAGCGTGTTCTACACTCGACGAACGCTCTACAAAACGCTCAAACATCTAAATCCCATTGTATTCAATGGGTCTGGTTCACACCTTGGCGTATTTCAGCCCGTCCCTAACACGCTACAAAATGGCCCACACCTGAAAAGGTACATGTACTACTTTGGGCCGTTTTTGTTGCGCGTTTTCATTGGGATACAGCCAAGTAGCCCTCCGAAACGCGCGTCTGTTGCGCAATTTTGTTTACCGCGAATCGCTGTAAAAAAAACGCGCGACAACCGCGCATATGCAATACGCCTAGGTGTGAACCAGGGCTTAATGATTCCTTTTAAATACCAGCAAAAACACATTTTATTCATCTTAGATTCTCATCCTCCAATTTTCTCCCCTGCACTTACTCGGGAATACATGTCTTATCATGGCACCACTGTGTGCCTCTTTCTCGTGACAAGTAACTTTAAAGTGACCCTACACTCAGGAGTTAAATCTTACAAATACATTCAAGTAACCCTTAACAAAAATGTATCTTATGTGTGTATCACTCGGCTGTAGATCCTCAAATCATCTCTGAAATCATGCTGACATTGTCCTTCCTTCTGGAGGGTGGCTATAATTGTTCCCCATGGTCCCTGTGTGTGTTGTAAAGTAGACACCGCTCCAAGCTCACCCCTATGATAGACTACAATCTCATGTTTAGTTTAGTTATCTAATTTGTATTGAAATTATAGTCTATCATGGGAACAAGCTTGGTGCAGTGGTTACAACACACAGGGACCATATTCAGCCAGGTGATGCACAAGTAAAGTATTGTTAATAGTTCAGGTACTAACTTTTTAAGATTTAAAAGAGAACTATGGCCTAACCTTCTTTTTTTCCATAGTTCTCTTCAGGGTAACAGGAGGACATAAAGGGCCGGCCTTAGTCCTTTAGGAGCCCCGTGTGCGAGAAAGCTTTACAGTGCCCCTCAGTGACCACACCCCTCAGTAACCACACCCTCAGTGGCCATACATTTCTCCAATATCTGCAACATTCAAAGACTCCCATTTTGTTAAGACCCAAAGAAACATATTAAAAAGTATGATAACAATTAAACTTTTGTCCAAAGCTATTAAACTTGTAGGCTCAATATAAGTATTCTTATTAAATAAAACAGAAGGAAAACAAGTGATAAACAATAAATGTCAAACTAAAATACAGTCTATAAAACTAAAGTGTCAGGATGTCATGCAGACCCTTTTTTCAACTAAGTGCAGAAAAGTAAAATTAAAAAAACAGAACACAAAACCTAGACTACATGTTAAATTTATGAATTACCATATGCCCGAATATATGAAAAATGTATTCGGGCACATAATGATTTGTTTGAGAGAGAGCGGCGGCCATGTTGGCCACTGGAGCGTTCTGCGAATGCGTGCCACCATCTCAGGTGACATCACACGACGATATAGGCGCTGTCATCTTGGTGTATACCTAGATATACACCAAGATGGCGGCACCCAACACATGTGGTGTTATATGACGTTATGCGCCCTGCCTCCAGAACATGCCAATGGCTGAATTCAAAATAGCTTAAAAATTTGTTTTGTTTGATGAAACAAATGAAAACATTTTTAGTTTTCGGTCATTTCATCTGATATTAATTCATAGGTATGCACATGTCTAATACTACAAGTGTGTGTGTGGGGGGGATATATTTCACTTTTTTAGAATAATTTTTTTAAATTTTTATTTATTCTTTATTTTTATTTTTTTATAATTTTTTTTACTGTTGGGGGCTACGGTGAAATATCTGGGGTCTAAATAGACCCCTGAAATTTACCTTTTTAAAATATAAAAAGAAATTGAGGACACAGCATCCTCAATTTCTTTTTCTGCAGCCTCAGCACTCAATGAATGGGAAGCACTCAGTACAGAGGCTTCCCATTCATTCAGAAACTGATGATAGTAAATATTTTACTATTAACAGTTTCTGAATGGGGAGAAACATCTATATAAAAGACCGGTTTAATTTACATGATAAAACACATAGTTTAACAGAAAATATACCTCAGTGGTTGACCGAAACCGGGATACAACATAGATTTAAACTACTCAATGCAAATAAAGCATTTGGACCTGATAATCTACACCCCAAGGTACTCAAAGAACTCAACCAGATTATAACGAGACCATTATTCCTCATTTTTAAGGAATCCATAATGACTGGTAGAGTGCCAAGCGACTGGTGGAGGGCTAGTGTGGTACCTATATTCAAAAAAGGGTCAAGATGCCAACCTAAGAACTACAGACCAGTTAGTCTGACATCCATAGTATGCAAACTGTTAGAGTGAATGATTAAGGACTACTTAGTGGAAT